AGCTGTCCCCTGGGTTTTTTGGGGTCCTCCTGCATTTGGAGAAGCAGGACTTTGGCCATTCCTTGTAAATAACCAAGACTGCATCAGAGAAAATACCATCCATTTCTACTTCCAGCCGCAACCACCTACTAGACCTCACAATTTTGGTTAGCCGCTCAGCTCAGGAAGGGTAACCCTCTCATCAACTGTAGTATCTAGAGCCCCCAGTGAGATCAGGGCCCCGTCGTGCCCCGAGGGCTTCACAACCTAAACAGATCAGACTGGAAAAAGGTGGGAGAAAGGAAGCATCATGATCCCCACTTTACAGATGGGGAACTGAGGCACAAAGAGATTCAACGAACTGGCCACGGTCACAGCAGGGTTTTGGAGAACTAGAGGCCATTCAGAGAGGGGTGACAAGAAGAATCAAGGGCTTGAGGAAACCCTCATGTGAGGAGAGATCGAGAACACTGGGGTTTGTTACTTAAAAACAAATAAGATGGAGACATGAGAAGAGTCTATACAATAGTCCAGGGAAGGGAGATCAGGAGCTTCTGTTCTCCCTGTCTGACATGAACAAGGGAACAGTCAAATACAATACAATAAAAGGTGGTCACATTCAAAACCGATCAAACACAATGTGTAATTAGACTGCGGAACTCACTGCCACAAGGTGTAACGGTGGTCAAGAATTTAACCAGATTCACAAAGGGCCGGGACATTTATATGGATAACAACTCTGGATATTCTGGTTATAATTAACACTAACCATTTTGGAAGGGATATTAGACCTAATGCTTCCGGATTTAAGCCAATCTCTAGCTATTCGAGATCAGGGTGAGGCCTTTTGTGGGGAGCAGATTACCCCACATCTGCCACTGTGGGGTTCTTACACCTTCCTCTGAGGCATCTGGTTCTGGCCCCTATCAGGGGCAGGATAGTGGACTAGATGGACTTGGGGCTCTGATCAAGTCAGGACATTCATCTGGCAAAGTCAGGATTTGGACCCAGACCTTCTGTGTCCCAGTCTGGTGCCTTAACCACAGACCCATCCTTCCTACCCAGAGCCTAATGAATATCCTCCAGAGACACCCACTGTACAGCACCTAATGTAAACCCAACCAGCAGTTAGGGAACGTCTCCAATATTAGAAACAAAACACAGGCAGACAAACAAGCCACAGACAACAGCAAAGACACAGGCCTAGACTATCCCCCAGATCCAAATTCCCCCAGACTTCAGAGAGTCCCAGATCCACACCCAGATTCTGTGGCTTAAGCACCTCTCAACGTAACACCATTAAGGGGGGAAAACTCCCCCTCCGAACACCCAGCCTGGTGAGCTGTATTTTACGATTCACAATAAAGGAAAAAATTACAAGGAATCAGTTTTTCATCCTAACCCATTTTGGAGACTTTATAGGGCGTTAACAGCATTGGCTCCGTTGTTTATTATAGACAATAATACGCTGGAGCTAGACTCAAATAGCCGCCAAGATTCCCTTCCTCAGCCCTCCCCCAGATGGGAAGGTGACCCCTATGTAAACTAACCCCCAGGCTCACCTCGTCACATAAACAGCGCCCTTCCCATCTTACACGGAGTCACAAGAGATTTGCTTCTTCAATGCAGCGTCTGTCGCCTTGAGGCACTGGGCCAGACGCACCACCCGGTGCATGAAGGACAACCTCAGCAGGCAGAACCCAGATGGCTGAGTGGTGGAAGAGGTACCCGTTCTAGAGCGGAGATATCCAGAGCCAGGGATGTGGGACCCCATGGACTATGGTACCCAGGGAAGACGGATGGAAGTCAGTGGTATCTCTCCTGTGGCAAAGCCTTGCTCAGGTACAGCTGCCTCTGTGAGTATAGGGCAGGGGGGCACAAGCTGTACCCACAGGGACAAAGGGTGGCCAGACGATTCCCCCAGGAACTCATGCAAGTCTTTAGCATGCTGCCCCGTTCCACTGCAAGCTCCCCATCCTGGCCCCGGCACCCAGGCTGAGGAACCTGGTGGGATGCTAGAACTGGCACTGTGGCCACAGAGCAACAGCTTTGCCCCAGCCTGGCCTTCCTCCAGCATGACCACCCCCCTGACCTCCGGTTCCAGGGTATTCAGGAGTTGCAGAGCCCAAGGACGGGATGCCAGCGGCCAGACTCTGCTTCCCCGGCCCACGGAACCACATTAGCTCCATGGTGGATGCAAGGGTGGAGAGGGTTTTACAACTGTGCCGTTAGTCGGAGGCACTCAGGACACATCGTCAATGAAGGTTTGTCCTTGATCCCTATCCTGGGAAGTCCCCTCCATACTCCTGACCAGGATTTTGAGACAACCAAAGCCTCAGACAATCCACCCCAGGTGTTACCCAGAGGCCAGGACTTCAGGAGTTTAGCCAGGGCAACTTATCCAGTTGAAGTTTCCTTACATGAGGGGCAGTCAATAGACAGACTGCAGGCCAAATCAGACCCACCAGACGCTTCTGAACGGACCCCGACATCTTTTTTATTTCCTTATTATTATCATCATCATTATTAAGAACAGGAGTACTTGTGGCACCTTAGAGACTAACAAATTTATTAGAGCATAAGATGCATCCGAAGAAGTGGGCTGTAGTCCACGAAATCTTATGCTCTAATAAATTTGTTAGTCGCTAAGGTACCACAAGTACTCCTGTTCTTTTTGCGGATACAGACTAACACGGCTGCTACTCTGAAACCAATCATCATTATTGTTATTATTTTTGAATTATTTTCTCTGGAACCTGGACCTTGACTACACCTTGACCAAGGACTTTGGACCTTGACAAAAAATAATTGCCTACCCCTGCCTTAGATGTATTTCCCAAGAGCCTGCAAAGTCCCTCCCAGACACTGCTGACAACTCACTATTGCTAAGAAAGTCCCTGAGGTTCTGGAAAAACACCCGGCTCCATGTTTATTCCCTCTTGGTGACTCCAGATCAGATGTGCTCCCTTTCTAAGCCAGAAAAGGATCGTTCCAACTGCTGGCACCAGCACCATCCATCCCACCGAGCCCTCTCCAGGGCCCACACCAGTGCCAGCAAGGAAGATTTTGCAACTGGAAATGGCCAGCCATTGTGCTGGCTTTGTTTGAGCAGGGTTGACTGGAGTGACAAACTTGCCCGTGTCAGTCCAGTGAGCAGGTACGAGGGGAAGGTGCAGCTGGGGCCATGTCTTTCCAAACATGCCAGCACTTCCACCTGGGCTCTGCTCCCAGCTCACAACTTCCAGCCGGCCAGAGAGCGAGGGGTGGGATGAAAACACCCAAGGCACCAAATTCCATTCTGGATCTACACAGACTCGAAGCCCAAGGCTCCCATTCATCAGTTTTCACTGCTTTCTCCTGCCTTCATCTGCGCTGCACTTGTTTAACCAAAGGATGCCCCGGGAATTCTAGCTTGTTAAATCGCCATAAGAACCTTTCACCGAAAAGCCGTTCCACTGATGTGAGCTGCTCTCTCTCTCTCTCTCTCTCTCGACCCCCCATTTCATTAAAGCAATTGTTTGAGAACTCCATTAATCTCAGTCTCGTCTTATTTACAGGCTCTCTCTCCTGTGCTGTGGACATGTCTGTTTCCCAAACAGTTGCCCATGGCAATGGATAGATACCAAGGCCGCGTACGTTTCCATGTGACAACGTTCCATCGTTAATTTTGAGAAATATGTAGCGCAGCCCCGTTCAGCCCGGATTCTGGGGATACTGCACTAAGTGATTTTACTTCGGCTCGGTGAATGCTTTGGAAAAATGGGATCGGATCTCCCACAGAAGTCATGAAGCTTGGGAGATCCATTTCTAGTGAAAACCATCCAGGGAAAGAAATACCCCTATCATTTATGCTGGGAGAATGTATAGCACGCCCCCCGATATTTGTAATTGTCCAGGTTGGACACTTACATTCTGGTCCTTCACCAGCCTGATTTTAGATTTTGCGGGAGTTACACAAATCAGCTATTCTGCATTTTAATATATTACTATCATATGAGTTACCGCTTGCTACAGTCTGCTGCTGTGACTCCATGACACACAATACACTGCCTATAACTTTATTTTAATACAGACTTTCATACTTCCGGATGCTTTTCGGCTTTAATAACAGTTACAGAATTCAGCCTGAGGCTATGAACATTTTATGGCCCAGTTTTTAATCTCCTCCTACATTAGTGTAGCTCCATCAGCACCAGGGGAGTTTTTATTGGTTTATGCTGGTGTAACTGGGAGCAGAATCTGGCCCTTTTCCTGTATCTCCAGAGACAACAAGATGTGTGTGCTATCCTCCTATGGGTGCCATGCATAGATGGTCATCCGCAAGTGAGATTTACCTCTTGACCATAAAATCTGTCTCTTCATAACATGAACAATGCTCCGGATTTAATAGAATCATGACCGGAGTCATTCCTCCCATTAACATAATCGAAAATGCATTACTGTGTATCCATGCAGACTGACGGATTGAGCTCACTATAAACTGGTTTGAAAATGAAATTGACACCAGTATTATTCTATCAGTTACACCTGAGTTTCACCACCGATTCGGCCTTAAAATCTGTTATGTTGGTAAATTAACAACCAGTGAAGCAGAGAATCATGCAAACCATCCATCTAGAAAGGACTGTCTGGTTATTTTTTTTTTTTTACAGGCAGAATGGGGGTGGAGGGGAAGGAAGAAAAGATCTTGCTTCATACATCCAGCATGCAATTGCGGCTGGTTACCCCAGCCTCTGTTTACCTCCATTTCTTCCCACCTTCTGGAGGCTCTTGCAAAAATCAGCAGCATCTTAGTGTTTCATTCCAACCCAGTGTAACCCACCTCTATGTCAGCACACATTGTGTGTGTGTGTGTGTGTGTGTGTGTGAGTGTGTGTGAGAGAGAGAGAACCGTGTGTGCTGATCTAGTCTGAAAATGAAATCCTCGATCCTCTGCATTTCTCCTGCACACGAAACGTGCCGATTTCCCACCCCCTCCGCCAAGACATTTTAAACCAACTCGGGAGCGGTGCGTTCCTTACCTGCTAGCGGGTGCGCTGCCCCCCGCCTCCGGCCACGCTCCGCTCCGAGGGGGGGATGCGGAGAGGAGCCCCCCGAATGCTCCCCGGGGAGCCGGGCTCGCGAGCTCCTGGCGCGCGGCGGCGGATGATGCTCAATCCATACCTGTCCCCGGCTCCTCCAGAGAGGGCGGCAATCGCCGGAACCGAGAGAGGGTGGGACTGGGGCCAGCCGGAGGGAGGGGACCGCTGGCTAGGGCTGTCCCGACCCGAGCCTTTGTTGGTGGGCGCTGGAAGCCTGGCCGCATCCGAGGGGCTGCGGGGCCAGACACACACACACACACACACACCCGGAGGAGGAGGCGTGTGATGAATTCAGCAGCGCCCAGCTCGCTGCAGAGAAACCTCCATTCCCAGGCGAGCAGCGGCAGCCGACCGACAGGAGCCGGGGCCGGGGCGACCCCAGGGCCGGGGAAGCAGGAGATCAGTGATTGCACCTGACTCCCAGCGGCTCCCCCGCTGGACTGGGCTTGTGGCCCGGGGAGCGGGGAGGATGCAGCCGCCGCCGCCGCATCCCTGCCGGTTCTGCAGCCGGACTCTCCGCCTCGTGTGCGCCTCTCTCCCCCCCGGCCTGCCTCTCCGAGCTCTGCCTCCGCCCGCTGCAGCGCGCTCCCACCGCCCCCTGATCGTCCTCCCCGCCCTCCGCCTCGAGAAGCCGGGGAGCCGAGCGCCACATGGGGCCCCACGCGAGGGAGCGTCTGCAAACTCGCCAGGCCAGGCTCGGGGAAGTGAAATCCCCCCCCCCTTTGCAAGGTCCCTTGGCTGTGGGGCTGCGGAGGTCCCTGGCGGCGGGGGGTGGGTACAGGGGTGAGGAGGTGACACCCAAGGTGCCCGGCTGGGATCCCCTGCAGCTTGGAACAGCACCTGCCGGGTCTATTATTATTATTATTATTTTGTACTGGGTCTAGCTGCCAATCACCCTGCTTTAAAGGTCTGGTTCTTGTTTGTTTCCCGTGTGTCTGACTCCCTTGGCCATGGGCGGCTTGGCCTGATCTAAGCGAAGCCTGACCTGAGTAAACCACTGGGTGGTTAGGTCATAATGAAGCTATCAATAATGCAACACCTTGCATCTCCCAACTCAGGGAACGGCTGCCCGGGGAAGGAAAGTGCCAGGGAAGAGTTAAGTGGCATTGTGGCACTGCAGTGGGTAGCGTGCGGGTGCCCTCTGTTGGATGGAGTGTGTGTCATAGGGCCCATATTGCTCTAATTTAGTGGAGATTCTCAAATGACAGTTGCCATCTGCTGCATGTCACGCAGTAGCCAGGGCTCAGATCCCCCTGTACGCAAGCACAGGAACCCTGCTCCTTGAGCTGAGGAGAATCTTCCTTACTCTTAATAGTGTAGGGGGCTATGGCACACTGATCTGGTTCCCTCCAGGAGATGGCAGCGAGACAAACACAGATCACTGCAGTGACACTATTTAGCACTTATATTGGCCTTCCCTCTCCAAAGCACGTCACAGATATTCATTTCTCTCTGGTGCTTTTGACCCACAGAAGGGTTTTACCACCACTAGCTCATTCACCCTCACCCACCCTGCAAAGTGTGATCAGCATTATAAACCCCTCTGGGCAAGTTCCAGGTCTTTTCTATTTCGGTGTAAAGCACGGCGCACACCTACGGCACGGGACCTCATCCTGGTTCTGCCGCTGTGACTCTGGTCAAGCAGGGCCGGCTCCAGGCATCAGCGTAGGAAGCAGGTGCTTGGGGTGGCCAATTTAAAGGGGCGGCACGACCGGTTCTTCGGCGGTGGGTCCCTCATTCCCTCTCTTCCTCTTTGAGCTGCCACTTTTTTTTGTTGTTGTTGCCGCTTGGGGCGGCAGAAAAGCTGGATCCGGCCCTGTGGGCAAGTCACTTCTCCTGTCTCTGCTTTGGTGTCCCCGTCCTGCCTGTGTCTACTCAGACTGTGAGCTCTGTGGGGCTAGGTCTGTCTCTGACTGTGTCAGTCCAGCAGCGAGCACAAGGGGGTCCTGATCTCGGCTGGGGCTTTCAGATGCGGTTGTAATGCAAATAATCAACACCACAAACCCACACAGGGAGTGTGGCTTGAGCAGCCTGCATGAGAAAGCAGCCGTATAGGAGCTGTTTCAGCAGCCATAGGGAACTGAGACCACAGACAGCTGCTTCACCCCCACCAAGGGGCGTCCTACATCAGGTCTGCTCTCGATTTTCAGAGGCCTCTTCTTGAACTGAAGCTCACTTGTGATGTAATTGACATGGGGGTTTATATAGAGGGGGGGGTCGTCAACCCCTTTACACAATCCGTGCCTTCCATCTAAGTGGCATATAACTTCCCCACTGGGGCCATGTGGCTTTCTCCAGCTCTGCATCTCCCAGGTCTGCCGCGTCAATCGCTAAACCGCTTGCTCCGCTTGATTGCCTCAAGACCTTTGGGTGGCTCCGCTCTTTTCCTGGGATTTAGCCAATAAGCAAACCCCGGTCTGTTCCCCATGCGCCTGGCAGCCAGAGAACCAGGGGTCTGCTCCCGATGCATGAGGATCTTCAGAAAGAAATGACAAAAAAGCCCATTTGAATGGGGGAAAACCCCCACCCCACCTCTCTTTCTCAATGTGAAGCCCTCTCCCTCTTTGCAAGAGCGTCAGACCAAATCACTGCCCGGCCTCAGGGTTCCCAACAGAAGCGGTGGCCAAGCTCCTACTGGCTTCAATATTTTCCAGCTGCCCTGACTGCTGGCTTCATGCAGCATATTGTGGATAGCTTTTGCAGTGAGGCCAAAGACAGACCCAGCAGCCAGCCCTGGAGAGAGAACTGCACAGAACCCTCCTCATCCCTAGACACGGCCCCTACGGTTCAAGGCAGAAGCAGGGTGCATTGTGGGAAGCTTGCACGGCCAGGGCCGTGTTGTGCCTGTTCTGGGCATAAACAGTGGCCTTTGGCTTCCAGGGCTGCCCATCATAAGGTGCAAAGCTGGAGGTGAGGCGGGTTTACCTGGGCCCTGGCCCAACCGCTTTTTGGCCAGGCCAAACCTGTGTGAACCCACACACTGGGTGTGTGTGTGTGCGGGGGTGTGTGGCCTCTCTGCCTCCCCCTTGCCCCAACTTTAAATAGCATTCAGCAGCCCCTGCTGCCAACATATCCGCAAAGGAGCATGGTCTTGGGGTCCAAAGGATGCCCGGCTTGTCTTGTACCCCCTTAAATCAAAGCACAATCTCACTCCCGCCCCCAGCAGCACAAACCACTAGTGGCCCAGCTGTGTCTGACTCGGCAGTCGGGGTCTATGTTCTTTCTACTCCAGTGACGGATTTCTTCCCTCCTGCTCCCCGGAGGGATGAAGCAGCATCGATTTCCTTGTTAGTGTGTCACCACCAGTTCGGGATGGTGCAACATGCCAGTAATGGGCATGTGTGAAGCCCCGACCCCTCTCCAAATCTGCTAAGGGGTATCAGCCCCATCCCTACAGCCTTTGCTAAGGCATTAGAGTGCAGCCTGATGTAGGGCTAGGAGATGTGGCCTGGTATCAGGAGCCCACCTCATGAGGGTGGCCAAGCCAGTGCGGTCTGCTGGGCCAGGATCCCAGGCAGGAGAGGGGCACCCAGCCAGGCACCAGGAGCAAGGTGAGGCGACAGACTAGCTCTGTAGGAGTAGCAAGCCAGAACCTGCACTGTCACTCAACCAATTCTCTGGGGCCAACTTCCTGGTTTAAATAATTGGTGTGGACCAATCCGGCAGCTGCAGGTGTCTGTCACTCTGGCCTTTTCAGGCGGTACCTCCTGCCGAGTCTAACCCTCCAGGAAGTGGTGGGTGATGCTTTCCCTAACTGCCCAGTGGAAATGAAGAGGTGTCATGTGCCCAGGAAGGGCAATAATTATCTTACATCTCTATAGTGCCTCCTGTCACACAAGGCACTATCCCAAAATGCTCTGCTGTGGGGATGGATCAAGTTGTCCCAATGCAGCCACTTCTGGGGTGGTTATTCTGAGCCAGCAGCACTGCACGAGAAGTTGATTGTTTAGGAGGGGCTGTGAAGGAGAACTCCTCCATTTGAAACAGCAGGAGGGAGTTTTTAGGTAGAGATTTTAATGAAAACCAAGGCTCTGATCAATTGTGGTTGTTAAAAGACCTCTGGCGAGTTTTGCAGCATTTCCAGCCTGGGTAATGGCATTCCACCTGCAAGAAGTCCCACTCTGGTCTTAATCTGGAGAATTTATAATTCACTACCCCCCCCCCCCCCGTCACAGGGTGACACTGGCCCTTTAAGAGGGAGCAAGGTCCAGTATAAATATGACTGATCAGCACCAACCAATTAGGTTTAACAGGGGGCACCTGGGCCACAGTGGGGAGGGAGACTTGGTAAATCAGAACTGGCTGGCCCCTGTCAGGGAAAGGGGAGACCTGCCAGAGGCTGGAGAAGGGTTTGCTGGCTGACCTCCAAGCTGGAGAGCCAAGGCTGAAGTTGGAGAAGCAATGTAACAGAGAGAGGGGTTCAGCTGCTGACTTCTCCATGCTGGAGACCTGCTCCCAGAAGAACAGTGAGGAGGCCTGGGGGAGAGCGAGAGACGCTCCCCTGGTGAGGCTGATCCCCCAGCAGGGAGGCTGTGGGAGTTTCTGCTGGGAAGCGCAGGGTGGTACCCCAGTTGGAAGGGCTGGGGAATGGCTGTCCTACCAGGAAAGGACTGAAGAAGCACCTAGAAGACACCAGAGCATGATACATGCCACGTTGACTGACTAGCTAGCGTAGGACTTCAAGGACTACATGTGCTGGCGTGCTAGATGGGCTGTGGTTTGGAACTTCGGCTATGGACTACTTGGGCCATGTTGCAATACATTGGCCCCCAGGATGGGTAGGGCTGAGACAACAAAGTTTATGTAGTGTAACTGGGGACTCTGAAGGAGGGAAACTGAGGCAGAAGAACCAGTCATGCTGCAGCCTGCTACGTGAGGATACCTCAGGCAGGGTGGCCTTGCTACCAACGCCTCAAACTCAAAATCGTGCTGTGCCACTGTTAAGTAGCTGCCGCATCCCACCCCAGAAGTGGGTGCATTTCAGCAGTGCATGAGGTGTTCCCTGCACACGCAATGACACAGAGCCAAATTCTACCTTCAGTTACACCTGGCCAGCCCCAGTGAAAAGCGCTGTAGAAAACAGAGGGGGCGATTGGCAATTATCATGTCGCATTGCAACGTGAAGTTTCTGGCCAATGGACAAAGAGAGGAAGGCAGCGTTCTTGGCACAGAGGGGGCAGCTAACAGGGGACAGAGGACGCTTGGATGGGAGAGGGGCATGCAATGCTACTGTGTGATACAGAGACGCGTCACGCGCTGTACGACGGGTTGGTGGTTTTGCAGAGCTTTTCAGGTTTGGCATCAATAATGCATGGGTTTCCTGAGGGGTATTAATAAGGGCTCATGCATCATGCATGACAAACTTCGCAGGGAAAGAGTGATGATTGTTTGCTGCTATGAAAGAGACGGGCGGCCTGTATTCTGCCAGGGTGGTGGTGGTGTTAACAGCGCAGCCAGACCTGTCTCACCTGCGGCTGGGATCTTGTCACCTCACTTATGTTAAGCACGGATGGGCCCGATCTGCACCTGAATGGGAGACCGGGAAAGAAAAACCAGCTGCTGCCGCGA